TGGCGATATACACTATCACGTCTAGAACTGTAGTATATGTAGCTTACATATTCCTTAATTAATGGAACAAAATTTGTTTTTCCCGGAGCCCTTTATCGATTAATCTTAAATTAATCAAGTTATTCCGTAGTTTTTTCTTATTCAACGGGTACGAGGCTATGAGCGGAATATTTATTCAGTATTATACAGTATAATACAGAGTGCTTCAATGGCTGATATCTCGGCGATTTTCGCCTTGTTCAGAGCCGTTTTGTTGCTTTATAGTCTAATTTACGAATTACCACATAGACCCGCTGCACAGGGTCTAGCACGGAGTGATGACTCAATTACTGCCTTATAACTCTGTCATGTTCTCAACCTTAAATTTCTTCTAGTGTTAAATGCAAAATCAGCGATTATCGCCGAAAAACTAGCATGTCCGTAGCCAAAAGAAATCGTCGTCATCCTACACGTCCGCAACCTAAAAATTTGGAGTCAGCACAAGTAGGTGAAGTGATCTTGTTGGTCCGATGATCATTAGGTATGTGGTTTGGTTTCATGGCGGAAAATTAGAAATTTCTAGATTGTATCCTCCTTCATTGCGCGCGTATACAATTTTGTGCCCAAATAATTTGGCCGGCTTTTTCAAGAGCTTTTCATCCACGCTGAAGCCTTTATTTGGAGGCTTTTCACCAGGCTTATACGGTAGTGGTTTGTCATTGTTTTGGTATTTACATAATAAATGACAACTACGGCGCTAGTGAGTTTCTTTGTTCTTTTGTTTCCACTTATATAGTCATTGATTAACACTTTTATGAGATCGATTTCTCGCAAACAACTGGTAGAGGTGATCAGATATTTCTCCTATTGTCTTTTCGATTTATATTTACGATTATCGAAAACTTATATGAACTGAGAAGCCTTGTATTCGCGTGTTGCATAAGTATCCCAGTTCTCTTTTTTTCTATGGGCAACCTACGTCCTAGTCGAGCGTGATACCCTCCGTAGTCCCCAGAGGGGTCTATCAAAACCTCGCCAGACCGTTACCATAGACAGTCGCCGATCTTTAGAGATTAGGTGCATTAGATTTTTTCCTTTGTGATACAGATTTTTGGAGTTGAACAAGGTCGGCAGCGAATTTTGCGTCTGCTCCGTCGAGTGATTGATGGCGATGTAAGGAGCCAAATCTTTCCAGATTGATCAGCATTTTCTTTGATAATTAAGCAAAGAGAAGATTTTCTAGAATCTTTCACAATTATGGTCTGACCAATGGAATTGTTATTGTCTGTTTATTTGATCAGGAGCCCCAAAGGCCAATGAGCAGTTGTGCAGTGTTGCAACACCTTTGTGAATTTTTTCTTATGAATTCTTTTTTCGACTCATTGCATCTGAAAAGTTAACATTTGAGAACTAACCGTCGTTTTTCCATAATCCAAAGTCATTAAAGTTTTTTATAACAGCCAGAGTTTTTCTAATATTTCTGCTATGCTTCACGTTATCTCCCATAGCCGACTTTCCATTAATCTCGCCATAGATCAAATAATTCATTGTTTTTTGATGAGCAGGCATGAGGTTGTTAACAGCAAGATTTATTCGATACAATATTGGCTGCCATTTCCGCGGTTTTGCCCTCTTCAGAGCCTGGAAAAATCGAATTAGTATGTAATCTACCCAGTCAAATACTATCGTAATGTGAGCAGAACTTGATTCATGGAGATTAAAGAAAAATTTACTGGCTAATTTGTTTGTGCTTGAATTGTGGCAGTGCTTTACTGAATAGATTGCGTGTTAATTTGGCTTTTCCTGGCTCCAAACAAGGAGACACTGCCAAAACGACAGCTAAGACTAATAATAAAAATTAAAAATGAATAAGTCCTGTTGTTAACCTCGTGTATGATGATCAGAAAAGCAGTGAACTGCAATAACCATGATCCGTCAGATTGTTTCCTTTGTTCAACTAATAGCTGCGCTTCTTCCAAAGACGCTGAGTGATACCTTTAAACTCGGCTGTTTTGCTAGACCTCGCTCAAAATGTAATACATCCTAACAGCATATTCTAAGCTTTTCATAAGGTCTGTTATAGCCCTGAGGTAGTGCTAGACGTACGTTTCGACCTTTCAATCTCATCAGTAGCCACGGTGCCTTTCGGTTCAGTCAATTCCTTGTGGAAAGATATGCACCCTATATTAATAAATAAAATATGCTATCAGGATGTAGCAATTTTAAGGAAAGTCTTCAGAAACAGTTTAGTATAAAGGTATTAAATCTACCAGCCACGAGCAATCGACTGTAAAGCACTGCATGTCGGATAATTCCTATCACTTCACGGCCAGTTTAAATAATTCGGTGTCGATTTCTACAAATGTAGGGGGGGGGGGGGGGGGAGGGAGGGTACATCCCTTCACTTGAAACTGACGTGAACCGAAGCCATCGTGCTACTGACAAGGCTGAAAGGCCGAAAAAGTACGTTCAGCACTATATAAGTGCCACAACAAACCCCATCAAAAGTTCAAAATATGCTGTCATGATGCTGAATGATATGTGAAACTTAGAAGAATAAAGAATAGTAGCAAAGCCATGGCCATCTTGATATAAGTGAAAAGCGGGTTTTACTCGTGTCTGAGGTCCAGAAATTTGCATATCATTAAGTATTCTTTAGTAATATAGTTATTAATCATAACCCTGGCATAAGAGCGACAAAATAAAAATTTCTTGTATATCAAATAGGTTTTTTTCACTAGATACCAGTGACTGGCTTGTCGGTTTTTGAAATCACTTTCGCGGTGGTCTATTTTTTCTTTTGAAGTTCTTTTTCACTCTTTACATCTCACGTTCACACACATATTTACAAAACCTGTTTGAACCACACCTATTAAGAAGAAAAATGAAATGTATGAACGAATCATTTCAATGAGGCCTTTAATGGCACGCCTTTCATCATGATTATTATTAATTTTATTATTACTTTTTCCACCCTGACTCACGTCATGCGTCTACAGATTCTTCCACTTGCCGGTGTTAAGGTATTTCTAGATTTTTGGAGTCAATTGCCAAATTTCGTAAACTGAAAGGCTCCTGTGAAGAGTTGTGGTCTCTTCAACTTTTGCTCAGGCTTAGGCTTAAGCCTAGACCCTAAACCTAAGCATACGCCTAATTTTGAGCCGTGTTCAAAAATTGATGCGGCCACAGATCTCCACTAGCGCCAATTGAAGAGAATAGAGGTGATTCCATCTCAGAGAAATTTTTTGCTGCAATTTCCCCTATTTCAGCAAGATGGGCGGTGGCTTCGTTGGGGTCGAACCCAAAACATCTAGCGTATTGAGCCGTCTCACTACCACACTGCTACGCCAGATCTTTTTTGTTGATAGTGTCTTTGTATTCGTCAGAATAGTTTAACCATTACATAATGGCTTTCTTCATGGAAATTTTGATTATTATTCGATAATTGTTCGTTTGAAATTGCTTGTTAACGACGTTCTCCTCTCAAAAAAGTTGAGTGGTGATATGGGAAAATTGAATCGCGGACGGGAGTCGAACCCGAGCCTGACCATCTTTGCAGGGCTGCAGCAGTGAGAGGCATGGCGGAATAGGAGCCGCGGTAGTGCAATGGTTAGTACGCACCCGCGGAAACGATGAGATCCGAGTTCGATTCCCGTTCGACGTTCAAAGTTTTGCATATCGCTCAACATTCCTGGATATGTCACCGTATTTACGAACTTTTTCGAGGTGAACTCTGAGTCGACGTTGTTCGACTTCACGCGGATAAACGACGTGCTGTAGACGAACGGATCATCGATTGAAGGAAGCAGCTTTTCACCGGGTGCTTCTGTTGTGCCGCCCGGTCGCGCCGACCGCCGCGTGACGCGTCGCGTGGCCGCTGGCGGCACGGCAACGGCACCGGCAACGGCACCGGCAACGGCAGAACCGGACGCGCTGACTCGGCCGCCGCCGCCGCGGCGGGCGCTGCATGTCGATTATGTTGTTCGTCTCGAGCTTTAACAACTCTCCATCTCTCCCTCTCTATCCGGTCTCTCACTCTCCCACCCTCTCTCCCTCACCCTCCCACCTTCTCTCTCTTCTCTCTCGATCTCGTAGATGTTTGTATGTTTTAAACTCTCGTTTATTCTCCTGTTCACACCACTCGAACTACATTATCGGCCTTCGTCGTCATAGCCATCATTCATATGTTCGTGTGGATTTCACTTGCAGCAGCGAATTTAGCTGAGTATTAAACGTCTACGCAGCGAATCTAGCTGAGTATCAAACGTCAATTACATGACGACGCACTTTTGCACATTTTTTTACAAGCAATCTTCTCCTTTTCTCCTTTTTTTTTCTTCTTCTTCCTTTTTCTTCTCTCTTCCTCCTCCCTTTCCCTTTTTCTCATTTATCCTTTTTCAATCCGATCACCAGCTTATGTGGGTTTCGCCTGCAACAGCTAAATTAGCTGAGTATTAAACGTCTATTATATTACGACGCATTTTTGCACCAACTTTTCAAACGACCCGCGTCGAATTCCTCCCTCTCCTTTCTTTTTCCTCATTATTCTTCTCTTTATCTTCTGCACCTTCCTTCCTTATCTTTTCCTCTCCTACTCTTTTCTCATTCATCATCATCATCATATGCTCACCTGGATTTCACAAGGAGCAGAGAAATTAGCTGAGTATCAAACGTCATATTTCATGACGACTCGCTTTTGCACCATTTTTTTGCGGACCACCTGGTAAGAATTTTATCCTTCTCCTTCCTTGCTTTTGCTTTTTCTTTTGCCTCCTTTCCTTCTCCTCTTCCTCCTCTCTCTTTTCTTTTCTCTCCTTTTCTCTTCGTCCTTCGTTAATGATTTCATTCAATAGAAATCATACCACGGTATATGGATGCACTGGAAGTGAGTAATTTGAAGTCTTTCCCACAAGATGTGAGATCAGTATAATGATGATCTCTGTTATTCTATGATCGATGTCCTTCTGCTTTTTTTTAAAAATCCTTGATAGACAATTATAATTTTTCGATTTCTTTTTCCTTCCTTGGTAGTGCAACTGGTTAGCTCGCGAACCTCGAAAGGCTCGATTCTGGTTCGATTCCCGGCTGAGGTGTCAAAATTTTGCACATCACCTTAATTTATTATCCATATTTTCTGTGATGATTAAGCGAATAGCACAAGATTCATATGGAAATTCTATTCGGCTAACGTTTCCGACGTTTTCGTCTTCAGAACCGATGGTGATTCTGGTTTTCCTTAACTTAATGGCTCTGAAGAAGACAACGGCGTCGAAATCTCAGCCGAATAAATCTATTTTCTTTCGTAGTAAACCTAGAAAGAGTGGCGGTAAAACAGGCATCGGTAGAGCAATTGGCTATGCACCTGCACCCGGAAAAGGGTAAATGCGGGTTCGAGTCCAGCTGACGTCAGACGTTTTGTACATCACTCAACGTCGTCCAGTATAAATTTGTTTTTGTCAGCCCTATCGGCTTGGCTTCGATCAACAAGGAAAATGTGATTGAATGAGAACACCGAGGATCAAAGGAAAGTCGGTTTTCGACGTATTCCGCTTGGTTTTCAGTGGTGGACAGTGGTCTGAATTTATTGCCTCTGTGGTTATTGTGCAGATAAGGCTGGTAAAAAGGGACTAAGGAAGAAAAATGCACCCAAGAGAGTTGAGGCGATGAGCAAAAAATCTGACCTCAGGCGGGAGTTGAACCTGCGTTTCACCCATACCGGGCTTACTACCACACCTACTACGCACATTTGTGCCACCCACCTATTCTACAATGTCTCTTATATAGCTGTTAGCCCTATAACAGGTTTGTCGACTAAGCAGTATCGCTTTATAAATCTAGTTTAGCTGACAGAAGGTTAGAGATGGCGAAACGGTGCCTCGTGATGTAGTGCTGGCACGCGCCCTATTATGGGTGAAATGCGGGTTCAACTTCGCCTGGAGTCGAGTTTTTGCTCACCACCCAATTCTCTTAGGTATACTGGAAGCATCGTGCGACTGCGAAAAATGCAGTAAAACATCAGAAATCAAGAAAAATGCTTCAGTGGGCTCTCTCAGTGAGAGAAAAATGCTCTCCCAAAAACGTGTCCCACGCAGGTGTCATAGATTTACCACCCAGGAACAATGTTTTCTCACTGATCTACTTGAATTTCTATATTTGCTGCTCTTTGACAGTGTTATGATGTTATAGTACACATTTGAGAGTTTTTAGCGGCATGCAAAACTTGACCCCTGGCGAGAGTTGAACCCGCGTTTCACCCTTACCCCTGGACCACCGTGCTACCACTACACCTATCTCTTTATTGACTTATTACTTCCTCCAACTGACTTTCTTTTTGATTCAATCGTTTAAACGCTATTTTTTTTTTACTGCCAACAATGATTTTGCTCGTTATCTTATCGCTTTCTATAGCCTCAATACCCTCGCTGGGTCATTGTTTGTCAAGAGACGGAACGAGTACACAGTTTATAGGCACAGAGGACTTCTTATGAACGTGTGATCAAGCGTTTTGATAACTCAATAAAAGACTCATAGAGAGCTCTGAGTGCGGGGAAAAAGTTGTTTTCTCCTTGGGAATTTGAATTCAGTCATTTTTTTCTATTGAAGTAGTGGGAGTGTTTTACTGATTAAGGAGGGTGGGGGAGGGGAAACCCACGAAATGTCAGCTGCTCGAACAAGCTTTGTTGTAAAAATCTCGTATTTTAGCCCATAAAGAAAAAGAAGCTATGATCTATCGAGCAATGCCGAAGTTGAGAGGCACTCGGACGTGGCTCTGAGTACTGGTTTTTCCTTGAAAGCGGAAGTTTTTCTTCATAACATGTCAAGATCGGCTACTGCTTGAGTATTCAAACCCTTTTGGGGGCCAACGTTCATAAGAAGGCGTCATTGTGCCATCACTTGCGCGGCAGTTAGACAGGCGACCAGAGAAGCGACTCTCCTTGTCTGCGCGTGCGTATCTGGCTGTCTTCCTGCTTTCCCACGAGACACGACGCCGCCATCACAGTAGCTGAGTGAGATATGACGTCGTACGGTAAGCATCAAAATGGCTCTCATGGTCCCTAAAGGATTAATTAAATCTATGCCGATTAGAGTCGACTTTGATGTGGTAACTTTTTTTTGGAGAATGTTTGAAAACCCGAGATTCTCTTCCGAAAACGAAGTTACTGGAGATACATTATGAATATTGAGAAGATTAGGAATCGAATAAGTTAAATAACAAAGGGCCTTTTTTGTGGAGAGTTGTAGCCCCATCAATTTCGAGGTATTTTTCGTTTTCGAGATTGATTTCTTCAAGCAAGAAGTCACAAGAGCGCGCTCAGACTCAGACTTGGGGTTAAGAAAATTGATGGGACCGCAACTCTCCAATAGCGTCTAGTAAAGTTATTGAAATAAATTGAGATTGTTTGGAGAAATCTATTCGTCTATGAGAGACGAAAGAGCGAGCGATGTCATGGTTGTAATGTCTACATGTCTTTTTTTTCTTTTATGAATTAGTTTATTTCGATGGTTTCCACATTTCTTCCTTTAGTACTGGCCCATATGGATCTAATCAATAGAAAGGCAAATAAACCCAATGATGGAGTGGTGTGCAAAAACGTTTGCGTCAGCCGGGATTTGAACCCAAATCTTACTCGTTCCGAAAGAGTGGAGTGCAAATCGAGCGTCGGTGGTTCACGGTTTAGCACATGCTCCCTGAAAGAGTAAGATCTGGATTCAAATCCCGGCTGACGCAAACGTTTTTGCACACCACTCTCCATCATTGGGTTAATAAAAACATCATAACACCGCAATAGGCGGTCAAATAAAATGATTTCGGAAAAAGACATAATTTTGCAAATATCTGCCCCCAAAGGTACTTTGTTCGCCCAGCTCTTCTGTTCACAGTAATGCATCAGTACAGCTGAAGAGCTTTGATGATTGTCTACATAGAGCATCTGTTATCGCAACTACGTGTATCAGTTTGTTCTACGGGGCCGGTGACTGAGTGGTTCGTGATGTTCGACGCGAAATTGATCCCCATCGTCCCAGCACTCTTTGGCAAATGCAAGCAGGTGCGCTAAATCTGTATTCTCCAATGTTTGTGATCGAGATGAAATCCTGAAGCAAGCGATGCGACTAGTCGAATGTTGTAAATACTTGAACCGCACAGCGAAAAGAGAAACTGTGATATGAGTTAAATAAATAAGGTGATGAAGGTGATTTCATTTTTTCTATTTCATCTCATCTCTGTAAATGGACCGGGACTTTCCTCTGACCTACATATTGCCAATCAACAATATTTTCTTGAACCGTCAAGCTTACACGAGCTTGATACACGGGTAGGCTGTGTATAAATCGCGCCATTTTGGTTTTTGGTTCTTTTCAGTTTTAAGCACGGATTTTCGAACCTATTCCCCACGCTGCACAAGAAGTTTTAATCAGGAGTGTTAGTAATCACTCTATAGCTCAAATCTCAAGCTAGTGTCGTACGTGACCGGTTTGTTGAAAAGACCTTTTTTAAGACTGAAGAATTAGAAATATAATCATGTTTCACACCGGCCGCGCAATTCAAATGTTACTTCGCTGGGAGCACAAAAAACTCCTTTCCAAAACCGAGAAACAATTGCTAATCATATATACCTCACTTAGGTGCCATCGGTCGATGTTCGCGCCGGCTTGCCCCCTTCCAACCTACCCCTCAGCCCGTGAATTAGCCAAAGATCACTTGCCTGTGCATGTGAATCTCTCGTAATTTTCCAGCTGCGTCACAGAGAGACGGTCTTTTAACAGTATAAGCACAGCGTTGGAATCGGTAAATTTTACGCTATCTAATGACTACACACAGTTCAAAGAAAGAGCTCTGTACTGCGAGAAATATGCGCGTATGAAAAAATTTTTGTGAATTGTTCAGCATCATAAAAGGCTCTCTTCAAAAAAACGAGGCATGTACAGCGTTAGCTTGAGTTTTAAGCTTTCGAATGACTACTAACACTCTTTATGAGAACTTCTTGCCTAGCGTAGGGGATAGGCATAAAATTCTGTGCTACCAAATAGAACAGTACCTGGCTTTTTAATTGAATTTTCTAATGGAATTTGTGGAAATTACCGTTTCGTATGATTGGCATTCTGTAATGAAGTTGCATGATTTTGGTCTTATTCAACTGCGCATTTTTTGCGAACGTTTTGGTACATAACTTTTTTATACTTGCTTTAAGATGAAGCTGCCTCAGGAACAAATTCGCTTGCTGCTCATCCACGAATGGCGCGTAGGGGAAGTCCTAGTGAAGCGGCGCACATGATCAGTGGAGCTTGAGACTATGCTGCAGGATAATCCTTTTCAATTTTGTAATTTCGTTCTGCGGTGATTGAATACATATCTGGCCTTTACAATGACTTGCGGTGGTCTCCCGCTGATCCGAGTTAGTGCTGCTTATACTCCCAGACAAGTCTGCGACCAGTCTGGCACCAATTTACCGACCCCGGAGGGATGGATGGCTTGTTGAGCCGTGAGCGCGATATCAAGCCATCGCCCTCTTGTGCGACGCGCAGCACCTCTAATCACTGCGCCACATGCGCTCATCATACCACATAACATCATTGATTATACAGTTTTGTGACCGTCTTTTCTTTCAAGCAGTCGCAGATCAGACTTTTATCTAGCCTGGTTTGTAATCGATAAGCCCGACTCTATGGAAAAGCCATTTCGTATCACTGGTTTGGCTGATGTTTTTAAGTTGACTTTTTTTTTCTTACTTTTTCAAATTGTCGTCGTACTTCTGCCTAAAATTGAATTTTTTCCACCGACGGCACAATATTTTCCTAATGTGAGGAGGTGAGGAGGACGACTTTATAGAATTCTATTTTCTATTAAATTTGATTACTTTGACGATCGCTTCAGGCCTGCCTTCTGCTAGAGACGAATTAGCATTGGAGTATCATTATATATTGTTTTGGAGCGCGTTATTTTCGATTTTCAAATAGTAATTTTGATTTACGTTTCTCTGAAGATTTCTTAGTTTGCATAAGGTTGAGAGCAACTTTTTTCTCCTTAATGTTCCGACGACGTCTTCGTCTTCCTCAGAGCCGATTGATCCAAGTCGAGAGTGAGATTAAGAGC